TGGGCTCCTTCTCCTCCTCAGAGCCCGCGGAACCGCTAATGGCTCTGATTAGAACCTTCCTGCTGGTTGTCAGTTGGTTCCAGTTTAGTAGTTGTGAATGATTCAGCACCAATTCTGTCTTAAGTCCCACTACATTTGGAGAAACCTGACGCTTCCAGGCCCAAATTGAAGGCTGTTATTAGATAAATTAACCAAAAGAAACGTCGATTAAACGGAATACCCATATCCATATGCTCCTTTAAGAGGAAAAGTTCAAACTTTTACCTGGAAAGAAAGGGAATGCAACTGGAGAATCCAAATCGATGCCATGGAAACATGGAAAATCCTATAAAGAATTAAAATTTAGCAATCTAGATTCAGTTCGAGATTAGGGTTTTGGTCCCCAACAGCAGAGCAGCGACCTCACAATTCAGGGTGTCACTGAATTGCATCCGTCTCAACCAGCTCTTGTTGTGGGGCATCTTGGACGGCTGGACCAACTTGGGAGAAAAAGGAATTTCTAAACTAAATTGATAGGTACCCCATAGTTAAGAGTGAATCACCTTCGTTTGAAGTAACGGAAGCAAAATCCTAAGTTAAGCCCCCAAACTTATCCCATATTTTTAATTAAACTCTTAAACTTTTATTAAAACAAATAAACTCCTAAACTCGGTAATCTAAGAAATTTAACCTTTTTTCTTTGCGGGAGACTTAATATCAATTTGTGCCTCATTTACATAGATAAAATATTAATATATCTTTGCTTACATAGTAAATACTTTTATCTGCACAAATAAAGTATAAATAGGTGTTAAACTTGAAATAAAAAAATAGTTAAATTGTCTAAATTATTAAGTTAAGAAACTTATTTTCTTCAATAAAAATTTAAGAATTTAATCAAGAATTTGAATAAATTCAAGACCTTAACATAAGGTTTTACCTAAATTTAACATTAGAGTACATGTATTGCTGTTTCGGTTCAAAGAAAGAAAGAAAAAAAAACCTTAAGAATATATTTAGTGTATTCTCTCTTAACTGTCGTCACACTACTAATGATTGGTTTTTTTACTTAAAATTCTATTGGCCCCTCAGAATCACCAACTACCTCTTAAAGAACCATGTTTTAAATGCATTGTTTCTTTTCTATTGGATTGCAAGGAATCCACTAGAAAGTGTCTCAAAACTACACAAAGTCTTAGATGCCCATTTGCTCATTTTTTTTCTCAAAAAATTAGGCATTCAAAAATGACCATTGAATTCATCACTCAACATCGATTTAAAAGAGACAGGAATCACATTAAATAATTATCATATAATTAATTAAAAGTATAATCTTCACCTAGAACCTTGACTGAGAGTGAATATGTAAGATCAAACATAATTGATTTCTTTTTTTTTTTTTTCATCTATGTTGAAACATCATTCAAAAATAAATTTTATAGTGAATCTTACTATAGAAGGTTTGAATTTGTGTTATTTCAATATGAAACAAATAAAGCTAGAAAGCGTAATTTAGTGTTAAAACAAACATGCAAACACCATGGGAGCACATACACATATAATCTTGTTGTCTTGTATAGAAAAGGAAACTCAGGCCATTCCAAATGGATGTCTTTCTCCCTTAAAATAAACCAAGAAAAGACTATATATGGACTCTGCCCACAAGATTTCTCTTTTACCAATATGATATGAATATAGTCGCCACAAAGATGGGTTGGAGGAGCTATAACTCCTATGATATTGGGTTGTTGTGCTAAACAAATCTTGTGGAGTTGAACTATATATATATCCATCTTATTTTATTCAACGGTTCCAAAGACAAGGGAATAAATGGGTTTATGCATATTATTATAATACATGGTGGAGTGTACGTAATAACCCTATTTTTGTTAGGTCAAGACAAGTTAATGATATTATTGTTTGGAATATAATGGGGTTTCCTTCCTTTAATTTAAAATTTGAATTTATCTCAACACATTAACTTTATCACTAGTTGTACCTAGTTACTTAATGGATTATCCTCATATCCTTGGCCAAATTCAAGTTCAACCAACCCCTATTCCATTTCTTCCACCACCCACCTAGCCCCATTTTCTTATTTCCTTCCATCCCACTTCCAAATACACCGACTTATCCTCTCGTTGAAAAAGAGCCATTACCGTCATAAACACGATACAATGACACGAAGTCATCAAAGGACATAAC